CCACTGCCCATGTTTCATTAATTTTGTTCCTTAACCCATGATTTAACTAAAATGAGGGAAAAAAAAAAATAAATAAACCTGCAAAATTAGAGGGTTAGGCGGTGAGGATTTAGGAAAAGAAACAATACCTAAATATGATTGAATTTGTGGAAATTCGTGACCAACCGGCAAACCAGAACAAAGCCGCATAAATGTAGGCTATATGGACTCGAACGGCATCCAAAAGCATGGTCGCGATGTAATATTTTCCAGCTAACCAATTTTTCCTATAGTAAACAAAGCTTTTATACCACACTTGTCATAATCAGGGCTTATAATTTGCAAATAAATAATTGCTGGATTCAAAACAGCAATTAAAAGGCGCTGTGACCGACACTGACAATACGTTTCCCCGGAGCATTCAATGATGTCACTAAACGGTGATGCCACAACTAAGAGCATCGTTCACAAGTTTCTGCATGAATCTAACTAGCCTAGGCACAGGTTTTCAAGCCATGGGACAAAATGGGATGCTTTAAAGAAAATGTATAGCCTATGTAAATAATAGGCCTAAAATAAAAATAACAATTTGTTTTCATAAAAAGAAAGCAAAATATATCTGACTTAAATAATTAAGCTAACAGATTTAAAACAGAAGTGTGGCGCGGCGCTCCATAAACAAGTTCACGGAAACGAAAGGATGACAGCACGCATTCTGTTTGTTTGCTTTATTTTACGAAAGCACATCTCTTGTGTTTTTATTGTGAGTGTGCAAAAATAAAAGTAAACACTTTTGCGGATTATATCTTACTCCAAAAATGTAGTTTTTTTTTAACGATTCAGCTGTTCGATCACGCCGGCGCCTCGCGCGCACACACCCCACATATTCTAGCAATTCAGACTTACTTCGCAGTCTGTTCATTATCAAAATAAATTACAGTCAACCAAACATATAAAAGGTTACACTGGTCAGTTTAAATAGACCGTAGTATACCGGTCCACTCTGCTGTTATGACAAGGATGTTTTTGCTCATGAGGATGATCTTTTCCGTCTTTATGCGAATGCGTGTAAAGTACAAGCCCAGTTTACATTATAAATAATAGTTTAACATTCAAATACATTGTGAATATGGAAACATTTGGATTTGTGCCGAATAAGACGTGAGCAATAATCTCCAAATACATCTAGCCAAACCCGCGCTCGCTTCGTCCTTGTATGCACTCACGCATGCACTGTCACGATCTAATGCACTGTAAATGCCGGATTTTTAAAAACAAATAGGCCTACCGGAACGCAGGATCAAATTAAGTACTGGTCATAATACTCACATGATAATAATGTTTCATGTTAGCAACAGTGTGTTTTGCTGCAGCAGCGCCGATGGAAGCGGTTCACTGACTGCGCAGCACAGCCACACGCGCCACAGTTACGTTTGGGATCATTTTAATCTAAATGACAATGTCAGTTGAAAACATTGCAATTGTGTTTTAAAATACAACGAGCACCACGAAACCTTTTACAGAAGTGTGCGTGTTCAGCGGTCTCCGTGATGGGATAGGAAACAGTCAACAAAGTAAAATGATCTCAAACGGACTGCGCGCTCTCTTCATTTTATCAAATTATCTTAATCACATTTATTCATTTTACAATCCTGCTACTAGCATTTTATTCAGACTAAAACCCCTTTATTTCAGGTGAGAAAGCGGTTGAGAGGGGCTTTTGCACATCCTGTCATGCCGGTGACTGCGTGCCGCAGAAATAGACGCATTTAGCAGCATTAAGGTTAACGATTAATCGATTTATTGATAATTAATTTAAATGACTATATCGATCATGAAAATTAGCATTTATGTACATGATTGTGTTTTTGAGAAGGCAATGTTTATGTGTGGTTTGTGAAAAACTAAAATTATGAAGTCACTGAAATAAGGCCATAAAACACATACAGAACATTTGTTCACAAGACTTTTGAGAACTGGATCTTGTAGCCTACAGTTTTTGCTTCAAAATGATATGAAAATCATCTTGTTTACTCGCTCACAGAAAACAAAATATTGATTTAAATTTTCTAAGACACTTTTTGAGTAGAAAGGGTCTATAAGAGAAGGCGTGAACTATCATTATTAATGCTGTGATTAACACCTGAGAAGACAAATGCCTGCATAATGAGCTGCATAATGAGCCTTTCAGTCGGGTATGTGACTGAGAGGGAAGAGTTACAAGAAAGAATGTGCACAGTGTCTGGTTGTGGTGCCCTGGACTGGCCACTTGACAGCGCTCTCCTGTTTCAGTGTTATATGTTTTGAACTCCATTTCCCATAGTCCCTTGCCTGTCGTTTCTGTTCTGATCATGATCACCTGTGGGCAATTTACTCATCATTTCATCACTATTTATACCATGCTCACACTGTCTGTCTTTGCTGCAGTATTGTTTGAGGTTACATCGTGTTTTCTGTTCCCTGTGTTTTGGATTACCTTTTGTCTAGTTTTTGTTCTGTTCTGATTCTTCATGATCACCTGT